TGGTTGCTCATCCTTCCTCATTGCCTCTTCCTCCTCTTTTTGTAACCTCCACCAATGAGTTAAGGGCATAGAAGGTCATGGTCTGTGTTAAAAACATTACAAAACCAGTTAAATGTAAACTTGCAAGACACAATAATTATTAACAACTTAAGTAGCTATACTGACAACTATCGCAGCCTATATTAATAATAGAGTTTTATATTTCGTAGTAAGGGGTTTCTATCCACACCAATATTCATCTTTTTCATAAATTCTCACTGAATCATGCCAAAATAGAGCAAAGTCCACCCTCAATCCACCCACAATATATCTAAAAATAGAACATCCAGAATCATCCTACCCATCCATCATAAATCCCTAACTTAAATGACCAATACATACAAAACTAAAAACATAAGTGATTTTAACAATGGTTGATGCGAGTGGAGTGGGCAAGATTTTTAGATGAGAATGGGAAAGGAACAAGATGAAGTTTAGGTTCGTTTTTCCTCATCTTCTATTGATAGGTGCCGATTTTCAGTTTGGAACAAAGCAACTTTTAGCAAGTTTGGTAGCATCTTATTAGGGGGTAGAAATGTCTTTTCATACTTCACTAAATTGCACTCATGTCCCTTTTGGGGCTTTAGATTCATTATCGAGTTTTCTGGAACTTTTTTTTTTTGTGATTTGTGTGCCATGGGACCTCAATACCATTTTTCCATATAGTCTTGGCTGGAAAAGGGGAAGATGATGAGAAGAGAAGAGGAGGGAAGCCGCACCTATTTATTTTCTCTCCTTTTCCCTTTGCTCCCCAATTAAACAAAGTACTTTTTTTTTTCAGTATAATTCAGAATATCCTCAACTCGCTTTGGACTTGAGATTGATTTTTGCCAGGCCAGGAGTGTAAAGATTAAAGTTCTCTCAACAAATGCTCCTCTCGAGATTTAAACTTGTGTCTTTCTCTTTACGTGAGTGAGACCGCTTACTATCTCAACTAACATCTCATTGGTAATAAAGTACTCCTTTATTATCCTTTTATTTTCCTTCCGGTCGCGCCATTAAAATCCCATCTCTTTCCCTCTTGTCCTGTGAACCAAGCAGATATTAAGGCTATTTTCATATGTGTTTGTGCTTGTACTTTTTTTGACCAGGTTTGCGTTTGTACTTTCGATGACACATTTCTTTCACTACATCAAAAACTTGGGCTCAGACATTGTGGACCTCATAATATGCTTTTGGGGGATAAAGCACGAAACATCAGCCCATGTGGGCTGTGGCCCGTCTTCTCTTTTATTTGCGTTTTTTTCCCCTTTCATTAAGAAGTTATATATTATACATCTCTAATTCTCTATCTCATAAACTATGATTTTAAAAGTAACTTTACAGCATACAAAATAAATACGTGAAGGAAGTTTTATCATGATTTGTATAAAAATACTTTTTGTGCTTACCAAACACCTAAGTGTTAGAAATACAAACACAATAATATTGTGAATTGGTGAAATTCAAGTACGAAATTGAAGAAGCAACTTTTCTTTTACTTTTTTTTCTTCTTTTACAATAATTCACACACCTATTATATGGGATTTGAACTTATAATCTCAAACTTAAAAAATATTTAATGTTTTTAGGCCATTTTTGCAGAATATCTATTTTTTTTCCTAGCAATAAGAAAATGGTCATTAATTTATCAAAAAGAAACATGATACAATCAAGTTTCAAATCAATTTTTTTATAAGCACAGATTTTTAAAAACTAAGCATTTTTTTAATATTTATTGTATTTAAAAACTTATATTAAAAAGTATTAGATGATAAATCTTCTATAATACCAATTATATTTTTAAGTAAAAATTTAATATGTCCAATATCTTTTTTAGTGATAAACAATATAATGAATATTAAATAATAACAAGTATTTTAAAAAAAATATATGTCCTGTTTAGATTTAAATATATCAACAATGTATGTGAATATTATATGGTTGTGTGTGAAGTGGGTGTGCATAGGCGAGGACTCTTTTTTTTTTTTAATGGAATAAAAGGATGCATAAAAAATGTATAGAGACTAGCTAAATCCAGGACTGAAATCCTTAAAAAAAGAAAAAAAAAACTCTGTATTTCGCAAGAAAATATTTATAATAATAGCTTGAATATCCATTTGATCACCCAAAAAAAAAAAAAAAATCAGCGCCCTGGTGAACTTTCATACTGACTTTTTTACAGTGAGGCCAACCCTTCTTATTGCGTTAATTCTTTTTTGTTTTGTTTTTTCAGGCTAATAGGGCGGCCTCAATTATTGAATCACCTAAAACTAAGAAGGGAATTCAAAAGACGAAGGAGAAATAAAAAGCCCTTACCCACCAAATGTACACAAAGCAAACTATAATCTCCACTGATATTGGGATTATTGTTCTCATATATCAACTTTAATTTAGAATTTAGATTTGTGCAAGCAATGCCTTTGACTTAATTTCCCGAAATCTTTAATTTGCATGCATACATTTGGGAAAAATATGTAAGTATAGTACTCTTCTTCTGTTAATATAAGAACTAATTAACTAATTGAGTAGAATTAAGATGTTAGCTAGTTAAATTAGTTAATATGATATATTTTTCCTTTCTAAAACACCCTAATTATCTTTTTGAATTCCGTTACTCCTCTCCTACTTGATTATTGTTAGGGATATTGATAAGGTTAGTTTAGAAAAAAATATAAAATATATAAAATAAGTCTTATATATAGAATCAATATCAACCTTTCTAGTTAGGTTCTACATTAAGAAAGGAAGGAATAATATAGTATTTGAGGGTAAGACTAATTAAGAGTGTATATTTTAATATGTTTTTTGAAAGTTAAATGTTTATAGTATTTTTCGTTTTTATATAAATCATATTTAAAATACATTAATTTAATATAATCCATTCAACTATAATTCAACCACGATCAAACTAACCCCCAATTAATGTCTTACACGATATAAAGTACTCATCTGGTACTTTGTTGTTTGAGCTGATGCTCATCCGGTAATTAATGTAGGAATTAACTAGAGAGTTAATGTTGGTCTTAACTAGGGGTGGAACAGGCCAAGCGGCCTGTCAAGGGCCTATAGCCTGGCCTGGCCTGTTTCCAAAAAGACAGGCTCAGGCCTGTTTCAAGCCTGTTTAGTTAAACAGGCCAGGCTTCGGCTTTTTTAAAAAGCCTATTAAGCCTGTTAGGCCGGCCTGGGCCTGTCAGGAATTATAATCATAATATATGAAAAAATTAATAATGCTATTATTGTTAATGTACTCTTTTAATTTATTTTTTTTTTAATTTAATATTAGTTAATAGCTTAATCTTTTTTAGATTTTGAAGTTTAGATGACAAGTGAAGATAAAAATATAATTTAAAATAATAATATTAATAAATAATGTGATTTTAAATCTAAAAAATTAAAGAAAATAGGAAAGAAAATTTTGTTCCAGAATGATAATTAACTAACTTACGTATTATGTTAATTTAAGTATGATACCCTCTTTATTCATTATAAAATTAGTATTTTTTTCCTCTTTATTTATTTGTCTTAATTTTAATTTTTTGTGTGTACTTAACAAGTCTTATTCCAAAATTTTAACATATAATTACAAAGTTTTTTCAATAATATTCTTATAAATTATAATTAAGATTTAAAATAGTACTTATGATACTGAAATTTAAATAAAGACAAGACTAAAAATTAAATTATTATGTACGTTTTTTTTTATCTTAGCTTTTTTTTAAAATTAATTATTATAATTTGAATTTTTTAAAAATACAGGCTTTTAAAAGGCTTCAGGCCAGGCCAGGCCAGGCCAGGCTCAGGCTGAAAGTAAGCCTGTAACAGGCCATAGGCCAGGCTCAGGCCAATAGGTTCCAAAACAGCCTGGCCTGTTAAGAGCAAAGCCTGGCCTGGCTTGGCCTGTTTTCCACCCCTGTCTTAACTGTAAGAACTATTTCACATGTTTATCAATTTTTTCAAGTTAACTCTATTGATTTTTTTTTTTTTAATAATAATCAGGTAAGAGAGGGAAGAAGAAAATTAAGAAAAATACTTAGGTATTAAAAAAAAACATATCATATTAATTAATTTAACTAATATCTTATTCTACTCAAATTAGTTAATTAGGTATACATTAAGAATGGGAGAAGTAACTTTTATGCATGTAACAAATGAGAATTAACTTAACAAGGATTTGACTCTCCGCCGCAGAAAAAAATTAAACTAAACCACATAAAAGATAAAAGGAAATAATTAAATTAAGAAAAGAATACTTCATTTACTACAGAATCTCATGTGAAGGGGCCACCTTACCCAGTAGGCTCCTCCACTTCCTTACCCATTCCCACGTTTTATATATAGTTATATACAGAATGGGTGTCAGAATTGTAATTGCTTATGAATGACTGTTTTTATTCACTTCTAAAAACAGAATAACACTAAACTAAGATGGTAAGCAGTTTTACCCTTTAAAAGAAAGAATACAAGTTAGATTTTGAAAAATATATTTGTTGAGAGAGCTTAACCTTAATATCCTCAACTCAACAGAGATTAGGCTTCAGCCCAAAAATGATTTAGGAATACTCTGAGCTTACCAAAAAAAAATCACACTTAGCTTTACATGTTTGTCTTTTTTTTTTTCAATTATTATTAGAAAAAACAGATAAATTATTATAAAGATTGAGCATTTTATCTTTTTGAAATTTAAAATATATATTGATCTACTTTATCGTCTAAGTTATAAATTAAACAAAAGTAATTATTATATATAATGAAACCTTAAATAACCAAAACACACATGTATATATATGTGGGTATATCATGATTCAAAAACTTGGCCCCTTTAGTTTCCATGCTGGGTCCGCCCTTGTCTGAAGGGGGAACACTATTTCGCCTGCGCAAAAATCTATACACGAGGATGGGCCTACCACCGCCCCATGGCTCATAACATATTTTGCCTATAAATAGGACACTAGATTGATTTTGCAAAATGTGTAGAACATCTTCATCAGGAGAAACCATTCTCTTCTATTGTCTTCTTCTAAGTAAAAACCACCAAACATATGAATCAGAACCCAGAATTGATGTCTCCTGCCATTCTAAGTACGGAGAGGAGTGCCCGTAAGGAAGACAAAGAAGGGAATATGGAAAATGATCGTCAAGAGAAGGCCATGGAGGTGGTGAATGAAGAAGAAGAGGATCGTCTTCGCCTAACATGGCGTATGTTCGCTAAAGAAGTGAAAGAAGTTATCTGTGTGGCAGGGCCCATGGTGGCTGTGAACTACTCAACCTTCTTTCTGCAAACTATTGCTTTGATGATGGTGGGTCACTTGGGAAAACTTGCCCAATCTAGTACTGGTGTTGCCATTTCTCTTTGTGCTGTCACTGGCTTTAGTGTCATAGTAAGTCTCCCACTACTAGCTGTTTTACAATTACAAAATCTTATCTTGCATTGTGGGGTTTAAACTTTTGATTGAAAACTAATAATTCCATTTTGTATTTTGGGTTTTGTATACCTTTCCCGAACAGTTTGGGTTGGCTTCTGCATTGGAAACACTATGTGGGCAAGCCTACGGAGCTAAGCAATATAAGAAGTTTGGTGTTCAGATTCAAACTGGCATCTTCTGTCTTCTTTTATGTTGTATTCCTCTATCTATGCTATGGCTTAACTTAGGGAGGGTATTGGTTGTGCTCGGTCAAGACCCTTTAATTGCACATGAAGCTGGAAAATTTGCAGTTTGCTTAATTCCTGCTCTCTTTGGTTACGCAATACTTCAAGCCTTGGTTCGATTCTATCTTATGCAGAGCATGATCACTCCTCTTGTGATCTCTTCTTCATTAAACTATCACCTTCCATGTAGTTTTTGTTGGACGCTGGTTTTTAAATCTGGAATGGGTCGCTTTGGAGGAGCTTTTGCCATTGGTATTTCATATTGGTTGAATGTGATGTTACTTGCGTTATATATGAAATTCTCTGATTCTTGTGCAAAGACTCGGGTTCCAATTTCCATGGAGCTTTTCCGTGGGATTAGAGATTTCTTTCGCCTCGCTATTCCTTCAGCTGTAATGGCTTGGTATGATCTTCTCCCTAACTTAATAAAAAGAGCTTCCTTTACATATTTTTTATGTTATAACTTGGAGATTGATATATTCATTCATATTGTTATTAATAATTTGAATGTTTCAGCCTTCAGTGGTGGTCGTATGAGGTGACTACACTGCTCGCTGGTCTCCTACGACCAAACCCACAGCTTGAAACTTCAATATTAGCCGTATGGTATATGCCTTTTCTATTCATGTTTTTTTTTTTGTTTTTAACCATTATATACATTAATCGACAACAATAATATGCAACTAGCACAAAACAATTATTTTCATGATCCAAAATTAAAATTTTCAATTGATAACCTTTAAGTTAAAAAATTATTTTTTAAAAAAATTAATAGTTGAGATACTTTTTGTTTTTTTGGGATTCTATACTCATTAAATAAAAAAAACAAAAGTACAAAAAAAAATAGATCTAGATAATCCAGTTTGATGACTGCCATAGTACTCATCAATGAACACTGAAACTGGCTCCACAATAATAATATTCCTCCAATCTAATTATGTATACAAATTTGAATTCTGTGAGCAGTGTGTCAATGAACGTCACTATTTATTCAATACCAGAATCAGTTGGCTCAGCAGCAAGGTTTGCATCATACTTCATGATTTATGAATAGTGTGGCTTTTTAAATTCTCAATTATTATTGAATATAATATTTTTCTCATTGGCGAATATTATTATTGTGTCTGGTATTATTTATAGCACAAGAGTTTCAAATGCATTGGGAGCTGGAAATGCACAGGCAGCACGTGTGGCTGCCTTATGTTCAAGGATTCTATCAGCTTGTGAGGCACTTATAGTGAGCTCAATTGTTCTCTCAAGCCGGAATGTTTTAGGACATGTCTTCAGCAACGAGCCTGAAGTGATAGGCTATGTATCAGACATAGCTCCTTTGTTAGCTCTGTCTGTCTTTGCAGACTCCTTACAAGGTGCCCTTACAGGTAAAAATCTTTCATCCATTATTATATATACTCCCTCCAGTTTCTTTTTATCAGATCTAAATTTATGAATTGTTTTGATTCTTTTTATAAGATATAATTTGAGGTTGTCCAGGTGCCCTTACAGGTTGTCCTTTTTTCATACATTTTTTTTTCATCTTTCTTTTTCATTATTTTGCCCTCTCGCTTACCCCCTTATAAATAAGAGTATATTTGGGGAGAAACAGTTGCATTCCTTATATATTTATTATTTTTAACTATTATCAACATATTTTTTGAATCATGCAATTTGATTAATTGAATTTTATAAAAAGGATAGGAGGTGGTATAAGACAAAACTAAATTTTTATTGATTATATATATATCCCAACTCAAATGTTTTTTTTTTTTGGTGGGTATTATGTAATCTAATACTCTTCTCGCAACATAGGGATTGCTAGGGGAAGTGGGTGGCAACGCATAGGAGCATATGTAAATTTTGGAGCTTATTATGTTGTTGGCATTCCACTTTCTGCAATATTGGGTTTCTTGGTACGCTTGAGAGGGAAAGGCCTTTGGCTTGGAATAACAAGTGGTACAATTTGCCAAGTGATTATACTATTGGTCATAATAAGTTGCACAGATTGGGAAAAAGAGGTTTGTTTTCTCCACTTTCTATAATATCATTTCAATCATCCTCATCTTGAAACTTTATGCAGCAACTTTTGAACATTATTTCTGTAGTGCTTAATCATTTGAAATGATCTCATGAGGAAAGGGTCTGAAATTTACAGGCAAAAAAAGCTAGGGAGAGGACACTGAAGAGATGTTTGCCAGAAGATCATGAAAACGTATCGATTTGAACAACCAAAGTGCATATGCTTTATAGCTATGCCAATTAGCATCTTCTTTGGGCAAAGATAGGAAATAATAAAGCATACCATAACGCAGTTAAATGTATTATACTTGTCCATTTGCACTTGTTTCTCTAAACTGTAGTATGATTTAGTCGGTTTTGTCCTTTCAATTTGTGAATTATGAATGATGCAACTTCTTAAAGATTTTATATTTTGTATTGACAATAACATACTGATTTTGATTGTTGATGTATTGATTATGTGTCATGTATATACGTTATTACACTATAAGTTTTCAGTTCGCTTTCATTCACTAACAAATGTATGTTTGCAGTCCATAATCTTATTAGTTTTATTTAAATCATTTAAAGTCTATATTTCTTTATAATCATGTAACGTCTGAAGTATATATTTATAGTTGCCACACTTAGATAAAACAACTAATAAATTATCAAGGATAAAGTTGCATCCAGCATCTTGATGTTATTTTTCAATAGAGCATCCTTTTTTTTTTTTTAATGGTGCACTCAGTAACTTGATATATTTTTTTTGTCACATCTAACATCTTCTAATATTATTTTTTAATTATGTCTAATACCTTAATCTTATTTACGATTTAGAATACTAGATGTATCATAAATAAGAATAAGGTATTGAAATCACCAGGAAAATTACTTTACCTAATAATCAAAAATATGCTTTTAGAATTTTTAAGGGAGAATATCATTGAAGGTTCCCATCAGCAATATAATGGCATTTAAGGATTAAAGGAATCTAAAACAAATATATTAGGAGTATATGCAACAGTAACAACCATAGATTAACATGCTAAAATTTAGGTTGTCAACTGCAGAATTTATGCTTGTTATTTTTTTAATACATACAACTTCTCAATATTAAAAGACCAAAAAAGTGCATTTATTGTCTTTATTAGAAAGAGAAGATGTTTTTAAAGTTTACGGTGTTTACTAACGCAGCTAATTTTTTCAGTGCTGACTATATATAAATATATATATATATATGTATATATATTATAGGAACAATCCTTCAAAACCTATTCACCTAACTAAATTTTCCATCTATGATTAACATTTACATGACAGACATATCAATTAATCAAAACCATAAATCACCTTTTTTTAGAGTATTTCACAATTTTCATTGCGATACAATATCAGAATTTGAAAGATAGCAAGATTGGAGGAAGATATTAACGAAAAACTTCTTCCTTTTTGGATAAAAGAACCAAGGGAACCAGAAAACTCAAACATTTGCTCTTTGTTTTAATCTAAATACAAAAGATCCGACAAATAAAAAATCCTAGATCAATTTATGGTATTCTAACTCAAAGCCTAATTAAATTACATTATGATTATCCTATAAAAGATAGAATAAAACGAAAATAAATTACATCTTAGATAAATAAAATAATCCAAAAAAATTAATCTAAGTCCCACTCCAAATAAAATTTAAAGTAGAATGTTAAATAAATTAGAAATGCTAAATGTTTAAAAGAAAAATTGCTTAAAAGTTTCCCCATTGTAAAATTTATTACCCAAAACTATTTGGAATTTGTTTAATGATCCAAGTGTAACCTATTTTCAGCGGATGCGGCTTTTTCGCAATTATGTGCAAACTAAAAACATTTGTATATAGTTAACAATATGTTGCATACAATGAAAGGAGAGTTACACAAGACAAATTGCATTTTCCTAAGAACTTATCTCCTCAGACACCTTTGGCCAGTGGATTTTGTAATGGGGATTTTTTTAGCAATTTTTCCATTTCTAAATATTAACTCTGGTTTCTAATATAAGAGCTACTTGACTAATTTGAGTAGATTAAGAAAGTTTGTTAGTTTAGCTATTTTTATCAAATATGTGTTGTCTTTTCTATAATACTCTTGCTAATCATATGTATTAGTTAGAACTACCACTTGATAGAATTTTTAATTTGTATAATTATTACAATGACTACTTTAAAAAAATGAACAACATGAAAGACAAAATAAATTGAAATATTATATTTAAAATCAAATTAAAAGTAAAGCTAGTTCTTAATAAAATTAATCCCCTGCCATTATCGCCTCACTGTCTCCACCAACCTATATATAAGGCTGAAAGTTGAAGCCAAGGCCAGAAGCACCAGCATCATTTGAACAGTGCAGTCAAACTTCTCGACATTGATTTGCATAATGCTTTTTTCTTTCTCTTTTTCTTTTTATGCATTTGGGAATTTTCGTATATATCCAAAAAGTTTGTGCTAATCGATATAAAATAAAGTTGTAGAGACCTTTTGTTACTTGCTTTTATTTTTTAAGTGGCTGACAGTCCAGTCTAGTGCTATTTTTTTTTAATTATTGTGCAAATAACTTTTTTGAACCATGAGTCAGCAGCATGCTTTTTTAGTCTGGGTCAATTTTTTTTAAGAAAAGTATTTTAAAAAATTAGTTCTTTTATATAGTTTTGTTGTCATGTTATTTTGTGGCAGATTCTGCATACACGCACACATGACAGAGATTTAAAGTTGAGGGGGGCATCCTTATTTTGGAGGGTATTTAACCACTACTGTACTAATTAATTGAGATAAATGCGACTTGATAGGTCAAATTACTTTTCTTTTTTAAAAAAACAAAAAGATAGGCCAAATTACTTTTAATTATCGAGTTGGTTGGATGTAAACAGTTAACATTTCCTGTATTAGAAAGGCAAATTATTAGGAAAAGATAATGATCTGAGGTCAAAATAAAAAAATAAAAGGGCAAAGATAGTGAAAATGGCTTATCAAATTTATAGTCAAGTTGCTGATATGATAGCTACCGTCAAAGTTGGGAGCAGTTGCCCAACACCGAGGCATTATTGGACTATTTTTGAGAGAAATAAAAAAAATATATAGAAGAGAGAGTTGAATGAAGGATGATTTTTGTGGTAATTTTTTTAATTAAGAAAGAAATTGAAGAAATTAGATTGGTCAAATGACATGAATTCACTTGGTTAAATACCCATATTGAATGTTCGAAACCATGGGCAAGAATCTTACAAAAAGAAGTTTAAAATTATTAAATTCTAAATTAAGTTTGATTTTCACACTTTAATAGGTTTTTACAATACTTGATTTATAAATAACAACACATTTTTTTAGAGGAATTCCTTAATTGGGGTTAATAATTTCAAACTTTTTTTTATGCGGATTCTCCCCATTATTTCAATATAAAAAGCTAATATTTTTGTAAAAAAGACATTCATTATATAAAATAATATTAATTTTCAAAAAATTAAAAAATACTCCATCTGGCTCCAGTCCTATACAGAAGAGAGTTTTTGAGATGAACTTATTCTATTTACAAGGTACACTTAAAGGATATCTCAATTGTTTTTGTTTTTATTTTTGTCGGTATTAATAACATGTTATATCACTGTCAATCATTTCATTCATTCTCTCTCTAAATAAAAATATTTTTGAAAATTAAAATATATTTTTTACATATTTATCATTTTTAATAAATTTTAACTAGTTTTTTATGTATGTAATTTGTATTATATATAATTAGAGGGAGGGAAATAGTTTAAACCAAGAAGAGAAAAAGTGTTCAAAATGTTTAATAACATAGGGCAAAATTATCAATAATTTTTTTAGGCGATAGGAAGCAACATTCATCTACATGCATGAACGAGATCTACTACTTTTCTTACAAAGAGGCAGAAATCATCAATACTTTAGTAACTTAAAATAATGTATGCCGAATATTTCAAGATAAAAAATTCCCTCTTTAGATCTCCCTTTATTAAACTTAATTAACCCTCTTGACCTATATATACCACCATGCAAAGTGAGTTGGATTTTCTTGAGTGCAAACGCGAGTTGGACTTTCACCACTGCCATATTAAAGGATTAACAATATCTCTTTGCCATATTGGTATTGTCGGGATTATATAAATGCCGTGCCACATACGAAACTTTTCTTGTTTAATAAGAAAAATGACATTATTCATTGGCCTGGGCATTGGCATGTACTATATAGTTAAAGCTTTGCCTCACTAATCAGAATCATTTACCTTAAACAGTTGTTATTTTCTATGTTAATTATGCATGATGCACTCAACCCCTCTTATTACTTGCGGTTAAATTGATTGTTTCTCTATTCATGAACACTATTATAATTAGCTAGTTCTTCAAGGATAAAATACACAATTTTTCTGAACCTTGGATCATGGACAAGCAATCTTCTCTTAACCTTTAAAACTTAACCATAAACCTCTAGGAGCTTTTAATTAGGTGAAAATGATTAAAAAAATGCTTGTTGAATTTTAAAATGATAAATAAGTGAATTTGACAGATTTTGACATGTAAAAACCATGACAAGAATAGTAAGCATGACCTATTTATCTTTTTAAAATTTAATACTACCTCTGGTCCTTAATATAAGACCCTGTTTGATTTTTATTTTGATTCTAAATATAAGACCCCAATCCATTTTGTCTCTCATATTTATGCATTTTTTTTCAAGATAGTCCTTCTAATAATTATAATTCTAGCCAATATAGTTGATTAGTAAGAATATTTTAGGAAAGAAAACACCTATTTGTTACAAATAACTAACTTAACTTCTTTCTTTAATCTCCTCAAATTAGTCAACTGGGTCATATAATTAGGACCGGAGGTAGTAAATTTTTTTCTGTGATTTTTTCTTTTAATTAAGTACATGCAACAACCCCAACTATCAATTATCTATTCCTTTAAATTTTATTTTTATATGCATATGTAACCCGTCAAATTTTGATTGATATTTAAATATAATCCCCATAAATTTCATATTGTGTGCAGATAAGTAATATACAAAACTAATCATATGAGAGTTATCTGCATAAATATAAAAATTTAGAGAGGTTTGTTGTAAAATTTTATAAATTATAGAGATTATCTGTACATGATCCAAAGTTTAGATAAATTATCCATAATTTAACTGTCATTTCTCTAAATAAGAAAGGACACATCATATTGAAGGTTGGTTCATTTGAGCATTTTCAGTCATTATATTGAGGCATTTTCTAATTCTTAATGAGCCTATCACTCAACTCACCTAACTTATCTTCTTGTGAAAAATTAAAGTAAAACACATCAACCTCTCCTCTATTTAATGTAAATTATAGAGATCTTTCCTTTATTTTGGAAACAGACCTCCCTTAAAATCAAAATATATGTTGCATAAATTTTCTTTCTAGTTTTGAGATTCAACTATAATTCTATCCATCCAATCATTAGTTGACTATTAAATTGTAGGGTTAGCCTATTATTTTGATCAAAATACCCCTTCTTA